ATGACAAACAAGCCAAGTGGGCGAAAAGCGAAAATCTATTCGGGAGTGAGTTCAATTCTCTCAAAATTCATTTTTTATTTTACAACCATTTAATTGATTCTTCGATTGACTCACGTAGCATGACGCAATAATTGTTGGACTATTGTCCTTTTTTGGAACTCACACAGATCAGCCTCCGTATTGCAGCACGCTCTTCTTCGACTTGTATCACATGCCAGGTAGGTAAAAATGATTGTTATTTTATGATTTGTGACTATCTGTTCTTGTATTGACGAAGATAATACCTATGCTTTAAAACTGGAGTATCTGAACTCGACGAACGGTCGTACAACCCAGCCAATTCCATTACCACGTAAATTTTTTGTTATTTGCTATCTATTTTTACATGAAATTAACTGATAACTATCGATCTATAGCGTGTTCGAGTCCATTATGTCCAATAGAGACGTTGAGCAAATGGCTTGAGAATAAACTGCCTAGCAATGATATGAACAAGGAATGTATGCCTCAAAGACCAAATGGATCTCGTATGTAACTATCAGCTTATTAATAGTATAATAATACTTTTGAATTATAGTGTCGATTAGGCATGCTTCCTATCATCTATCACTGTTCTTTTTGGTGATGAATATGTTGGCCTACATGTATTCAAGCGAGATTGACAAATAACGATTTTAAAAATCTATATTTCGGATAACGCATAGTCAGCTGTATTTTGCTTGCTATCCTGTGAATATAAACAAAGATATTTGCATGCTTGCTTCAATAAAAGTTCGAAAAAGTTGGGACATTTCATTTAAAAGATTCAATCTGTCATACAGAAATTCGCCAACAATCGGAAGAAATAGATGAAATGAAACGGGTACTGAGACAATGACTCAAAGCAGAACTTTGCAATGACAAGAGAGGAGGATGACTACAAGCATTTTTCGTCTCTCCAATGTATTTCGGTTTTCGATGTTGGAACACACACATAAGACAAGAGAAAGAAATGAATAACGTTCTCCTTGCAAAAGAAATCAGAAGAAATGAATGCACTTGATATATACAACATTTCTGTTGAATAGGTTTTTGATAGTAAAGTACTCCTAGGTTTTCTGTCTATAAATCTCAAGCTCGTTTGGTAGTCGAACACAGCCGTTTCTGAAGACGCTACAAAGTTAGCATTGTCTATAGCGCCATCTAGAAGGAAAATTCACATTGTAAAAAATGATTTCTTAAATATAAATGTTTATTGGAAAAATTTTATTATATTAGAAAAACATCTTTAACGATTTCTGTTTTAAAGCAAGAATTATAATGATAAAGTTTCTAAAAACCAAGATACCATAGTTTTCTAGTGTCAAAAGACGTTGTTGAAGTAATTTTTTAAGAATGCTTTAGTAAAAAGAACAAAATTCTAAATAAAATGAGGGATCGTCACATTTTCTACAATTTTTCCTTGAAAAGTTAAAGGTACCACTAAAACCGTCAAAAATTGAAACCTTTTAAGATAAAATCGTAGACAATGCGGCAACGCCTCATCTTGCTTAGTATTTTGTGTTGTTTACAATAGCATTATTAAAAAACAACTCCAAAGAGAAATCTTTTCAGAGCTAGAAACTACCGTGTTTGATTTTTTTTTTACAAATCTTGCCATCATAATTCATATATGAAATCTTTGTATAGAATGCATCAGATAGAAAAATCCATTGACTATTACAATTATTATCTGAATTTGAGCTGGATGTTTAACATTATAGAAAAAAAAAACGAAAATACTTTACTTATTAAATTTTTTTCCGTCAGTTTAGTTGATAGAATATATATATGACTAGAAGAACGAAGAAACACTTGTGTAATTCGATGTTTTATACTGTTTTTTGAATAACTCAAGAATGCAAACAGCTAGAGATCTGCGATTTTCATCAATCGAAGAGGAGATAGGAAGATGTATTTTTCTTCAATATTGTATAAGACGAAATCATTTCAAAATTAGTCATTTCTGCAAAACATTACAAAAAAATGCATGAAAACGATCTATCATTCCGATGAAATTTTGGGCTTGACATGTGATCTAGATAGAAGAACTTCAGATCTATAGTTCAACATATACTTCGTATGATTATCTTCCCACATTCTAACGTTGAACAAATAACGTCGTCGATTTACTAGCACGAAAACTATAAATTTCTTTTATTTTTTTTAAGCAAATTGTCTTACTCTTTTTGTCAAAATTTCATCTGAATGACAGACCGTTTTTATACATTTTCTTGATGTTTTACAGAAATGACTGATTCTCCTCTTTCGACTGCTGAAAATCTTAGGTCTCTAGCTGTTTGTGTTCTTGAGTTATTCAAAAAACAGTAGAGTACACTAAATTTAGAAACGGACAATAGAAGAGGGAAGAGATAATGAAGGCTTCTCTTTCCAAAAATGCTGAACTTTCTGCAAAATTTCTCCATTCGCATACAAATTTCTGATAGTTTAGCTCTTTTTATGACAGAGATTCATATGAAGACGCTTTTTCTAGACAAAATATCTCAGATAATCACTATCAAAAACTGTGCTCTAGATTTAAAGCCAATAATACCTCGATGAATACGTTGGAATCATTTCTTCGAATGAGGAAATCTATATAAAACATTGTTGTTCCAATTATATGAGACATTTAACAACTACTATGACTGATATAGAACTATAAACAAAATAAGAATCATTTGATTGATGTCTGTTGATATATGTCGGACAACATAGTAGTTATTTTTGTGATTTAATCTTATTGTACATTGTTCAAAGCGAAACATAATTAGAATAAGAACAAATTCAAGTATCAACAAAAGATTGATGATTTTACATAATGAGATCTTACGTATTTAAATTTGATTTGAATTAGTTGTTTCCTTTTGTAATTAGAATTAAAGCATCACTCATATTCACAAAGAAATACCTGTAAAAATTTTGGTAAAATTTCCATGAGTATTTGTTCAGTACTGCTGTTAAATTCAATTGATGTTTGAGAGTATCCATAGTATTCTCAAAATAATGTCTTATAATGGAAGAAGACATTCATGGTGTAGGTGTGGGTGTTTAACGAGACACCCACATCTAGGGCCACAGCGACAGCCACACACTCACACTCAAATCCATACCCACACCCACCATACCCTTTATCGTATGGCGCTTATTTAGTATAGTTTGCATTGAGTATCGACCATCGGAATAGCTTATGCAAGTACTAATTATGACAGTCTTATGATTGAATTTGAACAAAATCACTTCATTATGAAGATGCATAATATAGTACAAAAATGAATCATTCATCTTCCATGACATAAAAATTGAATTTATTGTTTATTAATATGTTATGAGTTTTTTGCATCTATGTTGTTAATCAATTTTTATAAAACTGAAAACGTGCTAACTGTTGGTTATTTTTAGAATAATGATTCATATGCGACGATGTTATATGATTCGATATCTACAGGTATACCAACATCCTATATTATTGATGCAAATAAAAATCCAATTTTTCCGTCAAAAAATGAACCGTTTAAGAATATAAACGAACCTTAAGAACATATTATAAGTTTTTTTTTTGAGAGAACAATTTTCACGACTATTAAGAATATTGAAGGAAGCATATATTTTATAATCGACAGAACGATTCCAGAAAATTCAAAAGAATACACAAATAATGAATCTAAATAACAGTTCTAGAGCGTTTCTTACATGGTCCTTAATAAGATGTTTGACACTGAAAGATGTTGAAAAGACCAATCATCAATGTTCTATTTTTTTCGTTCAGAACTTTTCTTGCCAAAGATATCTGTGATGCGCCATTTCTTCTCTGAAGAATTTTTCTTAGTCTCCTTTTTATATGAAGCCTTCTCGTCAACTTTATCCGACGTATCTCGAAGTAGTTCTTCGATCATTATCAATACATATTCATCTGCACAACCTTCCAATTGGACTTGTTTCGTTATTTGTTGTAAGACAATTGTTGGATCAGATTCATCGATATTTGTTGAAACTGGAGATGATTTGTATCCAATTTTCGTATCTATATTATTTTGATTAGAAACCTGTTTACTTTTTGATGTATCACTTTGAATTTCACCATTTAATTTACTCAGAGCATCACCTGCCTGTTTCACTATAGTTTGGTCTGTATCAGCAAAATGTTGAATTACATGAAGAAGAAAGACTATACCACCTTGTTCGATAATAATCTCAGTCATTGAAGATCTTTCAGCAAGAAGAGCAATTAATTGACAAGTCATACCGATGTACGAGTTGGCATCAACTTTTCCTTCGAAGAAAGATTCACCAATATCAATCAAATGTTTAAAAAAAATGGAAGGAATTGGTTTTGGATTGGTTTTCTTTAAATTGTATAGTTCATTAATAGCTTCGGTAATTGCTTGTATATTTCGATGTTCCGTTGGCTGATTCAATTGATATTTTAATACCAAGAGATGATCTAAAACATTGGGTGGATTGAGACGAATAGGTGATGATTTCATGGTATCTGGCCAAAAATCTTCATTGAAATCAACTCTTTTCGAACCGATGACTAAACGAGCAAATACTTGTCCACAGGAAAGCCGTTCGTCTACATCTTCATTCCATGTTTGATAAAGAATATTTGCATACATTCGTGGAATATGTTCATACGAGACAGGTAATTGTTCACCATTGGAAATATGACGAATAATGTCTTCGGATGATTGATTTTCATAAGGTACTTGACCTGTAGCCAATTCCCACATGACTACGCCAAGACTATAAACATCACTGGCTGCATTAAACTCACGTCGATTCATCGTTCGTAAAGTTTCCGGTGCCGACCAAGCTAAAGTACCGATGGCACCATGAATTTGATCTAATCCAAAATCATTTATTTTCGCTCGATATTTTCGGCGATTTCCACCATAATAATCCAAAAGAATATTCGACGATTTGATATCTTTATGAATAATCGATGGTGAGCAAAATGTATGAAGATAGAGAATAGCATTAGTAATCTGTTTAGCAATGGACCAACGATCGATCCAAGTAAATTCCAATTTTTTATCTCGTAAAATATCATTCAAAGATCCCAAAGGCATTAGTTCACTAAGAACAAGATAACGATTTGGTTCTTCAATACATGCACCAAGATGTTGTACAATGTTTTCATGACGAATACGTGTAAGAATCTCTACCGTTTTGACAAATTCTTCTCTTTCATGTCCTTTCATGGCTGAAATTGCTAGTTCTTTGACGACAACTTTCGAATTACTCCATCGTCCTTTGTACACATTACCCGAACTTGCACTAGCGATTAATTGTTCAAAGATGACTTGACTGTATTGAACATGAATGAAGAGTTTTTCTTCTTCACGCATTTTTTGTCGCTTGTAATCATCCATTAATGCGTCAAGATTCTGTTTGTTATTATCGATCAATGATTGAAACATACGCTCAATATTGCCCAGTTGAGTTGAATGCTGTTGTGAATGTTCACTTTGTAATCGAATAATTTTGTCGAAGTTCTTCGATAGAAACTCTTGATCATCACGTCTATCAATATCGTCTTGTTCATCTTTGAAATGATGTTGTACAGCTAAAGCTAAATTTAAATCTGTTGCACATATATACAGAGTTTGATTTAATTCATCAAATGCATCTCGATGACATGCTTGATCATAAACTCGAATAAACCAATTACTCTCGGTAAATCTCTTTATAAACGTATAACACTGTTCAATACAAACGAGTAATCGTTCCAATGCTGTTGTATATTTCTTTGTCAATGTTTTTTTTTCATATAATTGTTGAACCAATGGAACAAGAACCAATATTCGATCGTTCAAACGATGACATCGTTTTTTATTTGCACGAACTTTATCGACCAGAATTTTTATTTTCCAGGCGACATCTGCTATTTTCAACGCGATTTCCATGTTATATGCGACACTGATATCAACGTTAATGATAATGTGCAAGGCAATTGCTGAGAAGATGTTTGTCAAGCAATGTTCGATAAATGATATGAGTTTGTATTCGTTACTTCAGAATTGAATTGTCTATCCACTTAATATGCAAGCGTCAGCTTACCATTGAGATGAAATCATATCAAACAAAATAATGAGAAAGGTGACACCCAAAAGAATTAATTTAAAATATGGAATATATTTCTTCTTTGTCTATTGTATAAGTACAACAAAAAAAAACACGAACAAAATATATTCTCTATGATTTATTCAAAATAACTTTTCAATAAGACTGTCGCACTATTCATTTGAATTCATTGTCGTTTCAATGTATCAAACTGTTAGAATTTGTTGTGAAGTGTAAACTTCGTAGAGTTATCAATTGTTTCATGAAATTTAACTACTTTGAGATATATGCAATATGTAGGCATTGATGTAACATCATCATTAGTTGTACAATGATCCGAAAGATGACGAAAGAATGTTGTCAACTTTTATCTTAGGTAAATCGATTCGTTTCGATAGGAACGACCTGAAAGAATACATGCAATCAATCGAATTTATTTTCCATCTTGTTCATTTAATCAAAACGTTAATATACACTAATGATCACATTCTTTTCAATATTCATATAATCATACTTCATGTAGACTAATAGAAACAGTGTGACAAATATTTAAGTATCATAACAAAAAAAAAATGACGAAGGGTGTGGCTGTAGCTTTGTGAATCTCTACCCTCATCCACACCCACACCCATATTATTCTCAAAATAATGAATAATTGTAACGAAAATGAATGAAAAGATATATGACGACGAATAAAATGTATATACTTGACAAGTTCGTATTAGATTCACTTTCCGAGTAGTAATATTCATTGTTCCTAAGATCAACATAAATCGTTTTCATTATTAGTCATTAAGGAGATTAATATCGTACCTTAAACTTTAATTTTGTTGACAATTAAAGACGACATCGATTCCTGTATTTATTTGTCGAATCGAGTCCATTGTTTAAAAAATTTAAAATTGAATCAATTTGATTTCTATTTGTTATTCGAAATTATTAAATTTTAATCTCTATTCATTCAAAAAGAAAAAAGAAATTTTCTCATATAATATTTTCTGTTTTAGGTACAATCATTCAAGATATCATTTTGATAATAATAACATTCAATATATAATATTCTGTCAGTAGATCAACATAAAACATATTTGTTACAAATAATCTTGGTCAAATTTATTTCAAAAAGAGATACTAATCCAATAGATGATTGAAAGAAGAATCTCCAATCTGTACAATAATTAGTAAACTAAAAGATATTTTATTATTGAATAAATAATTCTTCAAAATTAATTGTTATAATATATATGAAATTAAATCATATTCATAATGAGGGTGTGGGCGTAGATCTATCAGTATTCCTTTCAACTACATCCACACCATTAACTATTGATATTTTACATAATGAATGGTCAGAACCTACTGTTGATTCGAATAAAATAATTTGTCTAATGAGTATTGAAGAAAAAAAAAACAATTGTTAATAAAATAATTCAGAGTACTAAATATCATTTTTGTGTTGGTGCAGAAAATAAATATTGTCGATGAGGACCATGTGAAACTATTGAACCAATACTTATTAAGAGTCCATTTGGTAAAATATTATTCTAGAAAAAATAGTTTTTTTTTTTTTTGAGATTTACCAATTCTAAACAAAAAGGAAAAAAAGATAAATTATATCGTCAAACGATAGTCATCGAAGTTGACAAGAATTTTCAAAAACATGATTAAACACTATAATTGCAGTTTTCCTTTCAATTTAAACGATTATCGGCAAACCTGTCAAAGTATTTCTGAAAAAAATGTTTATATATTTCCTGAATATGAAAACATTCAAACAACAATTGCAATTAGGGCATCTAAACATGTTTTGAGAAATTCTTGTCTGCTTGGGTTTGATAGAATAATTCTTTTGATAAATCTATTCAAAAGGATTTTTGAGTTTTCATTTAAATTCTTCAGTATTTTGTGAATATTTTGATTAAACATTCTTTAATTACACAACGAGAAGAATGACGAATTCTCTAGAAGAAAAAAGTGTCATAAGAATCCTTTTAAGGTTCTAGTTTTCGGTGCCATTTTATGATAAATCTAACTTTTTTCTATTAATTGTTATTGAGTTAATACTTGAAATTACAATTTTTATCATATTTTTGAATAAAACGACAACATCATTGATATCCATTGATGATTAAAAATATTTCAAAAAAAGAAAACAAAATAAAAGATTCCTCCAATTTATGATAGTCTTGAATTAGGCGATGGTAATTTAATAAACATGAATAAGGACAGAGACATATCGATGGTTAAAGACGAAGAACGGATCAATTTGATTAATAATGTTCTTTCCGCAAAGCCATGAATATTTTCAATACTAATAATAAACAATCAATTAATTGAGTTCCAGTCATTAAATTGTTTTTTTACACTCTATTTATCTTACATGTTAATCTCATAAAGATTGCATTAACAATTTGTATGTTTGAAGATCAAAAAAAGAAACCATCTATTTTTCTTTTATATTCTATTCAAATATCGTATACGTAAATCTAATGCCATTTTCATGAGGTGTATGATTGCAGGTATGTATTTTTTTCTCGAACAAATTACTTTAATGTTGATATTTAGATATTTTATATTACTTTTTTCTTTTATAAACACAGTTTTTATGACATTCAGATCATCAATATAGTATGTATATTTCTTTATTAGACTTTATCTGATTGTATTTAATATCCCATCTAATCTTTGCATGTTTCGAGAAAAATTATTTCTTATGACTATCAATAATGATACTAAATTTCAAACGCAGCTGATTGTGACAATAGAACGCATGAGAGTATCGGGATTGAAAGGATTAATATGACTTTTTATGCATAGTGTTGACTATGACGATGTCTGTTTCTATTATTTTTCTCTAGAATGATGTAAAGGGTCATTAAACATTATTATCAAGACTAACGATAGAGCTTCTCTTTCAGTTCATCATAACAATATTTTTCATATTCCTTTAAATCATTCACTATCTATATTTGATATTCTTTTCCAAGACGAAATATACTTGATACCTACATAATTACTTAATGTGCTTTTGTTAACGTTGCTAAATATAAAATAAATTGTACTTTGACGTTTTATCCTTTAAAGGTAATATAATATTGCTTTATAAGTAATACATATTAAAATAATGCATCATCGTTATTATTCATTTCATTCTTTTCTGTAGACAAAGATACTTTTTCTTCTCACTGTGAATGCATCAACATATAAAAAAAAGCTGCTTGCACATGGTTTACATCGTTGATCAACCTGTACGACGTGTTTATGAATATACTAATATACCTTGATAATATTGAATCGAACAACGTCCAATAATCATCTAATGCTTATTTATTAATCAATAGCTATTTAAGGAATACAGTTCGAACAGTACTTCGGTAGGTCTCGTTCGTTGATGACTCATACTAATTGCGAAGCATGGAAAAAACCAAGTGTTTTTTTTTCCTTTGAATATTTTAATATCGTGGCATCTGTTACATTCATTGAATAAGATACATAATTAACAACAGAACGATCTCTTGAGTACTGTTTTTAGTCTATTAATCAATCAAACGCGAGAAAAAAAAATTTTCATAAGTAACAAAGATACAACCATGGAGGCCGCGCATCGTTTTATATTTAGTAAATTTTTAGTTATTTTCAATCAAAATCGTATTTTTATCAAGAATAATATCGTTAGATTAAAAAAAAAAAGAAAGTCCAGAAGCCTCTCACTTTCCAGCTCATAATAAATTTTCTTCTGTCGCGCCTTCATCCAATTTTTTCTTTCTGCTCTACATACTAGGTAAGTGATAGCAAATATTGCATATTTAATTCGTCATCATATCATACATATTAAATCAAAAAATCATATCTTCAATTACTCGTGTTTGAGTATAAAAGGAAAGAAAAACGAATGTTTCTTTTCGTTTATTGACTATATATTAAGCTCTTTATCGTTGACTGCACGCATATATTTCTTTCATAATGTTTTCAAGTTGGTTGTTTTATATAATGGCAAATATTTTGGTGTTTTTAATGTTTAAACCTTTCATTGATGAAGATCTTTTAGTATTAACACGATATCATCGTGTAGCAATATTTCATCGATTATTTTCTTTACGAAATAAACTTTTACCATTTCTACATCCTGGATCAATAACAACGGATGTAGATTCAAAAGCATTATATGAATTAATTTTATTATATCATCCAGAACTTGATTTAAGTGAAGATCTAACAGATCATGACATTGAAGAATTTCGTTATCATTCAAAACGAATCCTATCTGCTTTATTTCCAACTAGACCATCATCTTGTCTTGTTGAACATCATATATTACAATATAATACTAATCAAATACCTATGTATTATATACAACATGAACAAATAAACGATTGGAAATATTCTAATCAACCATTGTTACTTTATTTTCATGGTGGTGGATTTGTTTTTGGTGATATTGATACATATTCTTGTTTTGAATGTTATCTATCAAAATCTTTGAATATGTTAATACTTCATGTTGATTTTCGTCTTGTACCTGAATATTCTTTTGAAGAGACTATTGAAGATGTTATTAATATTTATAAAATTTTACTTGATTCAGATTCAAATATTCATCGACGATTAATTGGCATGGGTGATTCATCAGGTGGAATGCTTTGGATTTATCTTTTACAATGGATTATATCGAATAATAAACCTATTCCACAAGGTGTTATTTTACATTCTCCATGGCCTAATCTTGAATGTTTAGATAGAATTGATAGAGTCTCTATGGATAATATTTTATCATTAAAACTTGCAATAAATTTAAGACAATTAGTAATTGGTAAAGATACTTATTGGTTTGAAGTAACTGATG